TGCGGGGGGGGGGGGGGAGACGTTTTTTCCCTGAAGCCCTTTTTGTGTTTTTTTCCTGAAAAATCGGAAGAATCGAAAAAAGAAAAGGAAAGGGAAATAAATTGATGATGGAACGCTTTATTTTAACACGATGAATAAAATATTTTAAGACAAGGTGTTCAAATATATTCCAAATCATTTCTAAAAAAATATGTATGGTATCAGATTGATCTAATTTCTGTGCACGGAGGACAAGCAAGTCCTAGGTTACAAACTGAACTCTCCAATGCAAGAACAAGATGCATTTCTTCCTTTAGGAGGTGCTGTTGTCAGAGGAAAAAGGTTTCAGTTTTGTTTTTGCCTGTGGGTGGGTATTCTGTTTGTAATAACTGTTTGGATATACTATATTTTTAATATGCTAGTTGTGATAATTTCATGCCGAGTTAAAATGTCCATAGTCATATTATATGTTCCTAAAGTAACAGACTGACTTTCAATCTGGAAAAGAAAAAAGAAGTGCTAATGTAGCATTTTTCCCCCCAATTTTTTTAAAAAAATTCCGTTTCTCCCTGGAAAAAAATGGGGAAAAAAACGGGTTTTTTTCCAAGGTTCAAAATTTCTCGAAATTTTACATCTCTAGGTAGGACTAGGAGCTGCGGTGTCTCAAGTGGTTAAGATGCTGAACTGCAGGCTGTGGAAGGTCAGTAGTTCAGCAGTTTGAGACACGGGTGCCGCATGACGGAGTGAGCTCCCGTCTCTAGTTCCAGCTCCTGCCAGCCTAGCAGTTCGAAAGCAAGAAATTGCAAGTAGATAAAGAGGTACCGCTTCGGTGGGAAGGTAACAGCGTTCCGTGCGCCTTGGTGTTTAGTCATGCCGGCCACACGACCACGGAAATGTCTTCGGACAGCGCTGGCTCTTTGGCTTTGAAACGGAGATGAGCACCGCAACCCTAGAGTCGTACTCGACCAGCTTTCGAGCAAGGGAACCTTTACCTTTAGGTTGGACTAGATGGCCTGTAGGGCCCCTTCCAACTCGAGAGTGCAAAGTGGGAAGAAAGGGGCTTGAAGGCAGTGCAGCATCGTACGAAGAAATGATGACCCTGTCTTCAGAGCAGGTTATGCAGTTTTGCATAAATGGATTTCTGTGCCAGCATATTGGCCCTTGGGCTCTGCATGTCCCGCCCCCTCCTGACTGCTGTGGGGAGAGGAAGGGAAGGGGATTGTCAGCTGCTTTGAGACTCCTTAAGGTAGAGACAAGTGGGGTATAAAAACCAGCTCTCCTGCTCCTCTCGTCTGTTACAATTCTACTCTCTCCGTCTTCAGGGGAGGCAAGTGTGGTTCTTTCCTCTCCCATTTTGCTGTCACAGCAATCCGTTTTGAGGGCGAAAAGGCTGAGAGAGAAACAAGTCACCCAGGGAGCTTGACGGCTGAGCAGGGATTGGAACTCAGGTCTCTCCCAATGTTCCCTCTGAGCTGCGGAGTCTTGTGAGCAAAGATTCTACTTTGTGAGCTCCTGGCATTAAAGTTGTGAGCGAGCGATTTGGCTGCTGCATAAATTAGTTTGCCCTGGAGCCCCATCCTTCCTGAGCTAAGACCAAAATTTGTGAGCTGGAGGCTAAAAAACTGTGAGCTGGCTCACACTGACTCAGCTTAGAGGGACCCAGTCCTAGTCCAGCACTATCCACTACATCCTCTAGGCCAGACTACTGTAACTTGCTCTACACGGGGCTATCTCTGAGACAGATCTGGCAGTTACCACTGGTCCAGAATGCGGCGGCACAGGTTCTTACCAGAACCCCATTAACAGCACACATTATGCTGCTGCTCTGCCTGCTTCACTGGCTCCGGGTTGAATACCGGATCAGATTCAAGGTTCTGCTCTTAACCTTCAAGGCCCTAAACTGCCTGGGACCAACGTACCCTTGGCACCACCTCTCCCGGAATACCCCCCAAAGAGCCTTTGGGCTCAGCTGAGGAAAACCTTCTGGTGATCCCTAGCCCGGAAAATATCCAGCTGTCCTCGACCAGAGCCGGGGCGCTTTTTTTGGCTCCGGCCTGGTTGGGACTCTCTGCCAAATGGCATCCGTGCCCTGCGGGACGGTTGAGGGCAGCGGTGGTTTTAATGAACCTGACCTCCTTTTCTGCTCACTTGACTTAGGTGCCATCTGAAATTGCCACTGAAATTGGTTCACTGTTCTAACAGTTTTAGGGAGCTGCGGTGGCTCAAGTGGTTAAGACGCTGAACTGCTGGCTGTGGAAGGTCAGTAGTTCAGCAGTTCAAGACGCAAGTTGCCGCATGACGGAGTGAGCTCCCATCTCTAGTTCCAGCTCCTGCCAACCTAGCAGTTCGAAAGCAAGAAATTGCAAGTAGATAAATAGGTACTGCTTCGGTGGGAAGGTCACAGCGTTCCGTGCGTCTCGGTGTTTAGTCATGCCGGCCACATGAACACAGAGAAGTCTTCGGACAGCGCTGGCTCTTCGGCTTGAAAACAAAGATGAGCACCGCAACCCTAGAGTCGGATTCGACTGGCTTTCGAGCAAGGGAACCTTTACCTTTTTAACAGTTTTAAAACTCAGGGTTATTTTTGGGCAGGAACGCACAGGAGCAGAGTTCCGGCTGGCTTCCGAGTTGGCCATGCCCACTACAGCCAAAACCTCTCTCTGCGTGGCTACAGAGGGAAGGCCTGGAGAGCGACCCCCCCGCGACTCCAAGGCAGGCGGGCTGGGGGGGGGGTCCTGGAAGGATCAGGGAGGCATTTAAATGACTCCCCATGCA